CGATTCCCTTATCAATGCCTTTCTTTGATAAAAAAAAAAAAGACAATAGGTTTTCACCATTAGCTCAAAATTTTACTGAGTCTCTGATGACAGAAAAAGACGTATGCCACCTTCAGTAAGAGTTTAAAAATAATCAAACAAAACTATTTGTACAGCATTTACTTCGGTTGATATTAAGTCAAATACATGTTACATTGTTAAGTCTGGCATGCATTTTGCTTATGTTAACACAGGACGTACATGCCTGCAATGCTGTGCTGAGACAGAGCAACAGCGGCTGATGACCGGCAAAGAGCATCGAATACATGTGACTCCTTATATTTGATGACGTGCCCCGTTGGCAAATGTTTAAGCATGCTGGTGTTTCCACCTTTGCATGTTATCACTGCTCGATAAACGTTGCACTGTTATCTTTGTTAGTAAAATGAAGCCACGCTTTAGATCATTTCTGCCTACTTTTTTTGTCCTCCATGCTTTGTTCCTCTAAGTCTCTGTTCTTGTTTGCGTAGAGTGGCTCTCATGAGACTGTTTTTGAAGGCACCAGGAAGAAAAGAACGATTACGATAAAATATAAACAATGATGATGGATTGAACCATTTTGAACCGGTTCTCGATTCTCATCCCTACTTATTATAAAATAATATGTAACAACATCTGAAAAATTAAAAAGAGGTCTCAAAGGAGTAATGCAATAAAACTGGATTGGAAACCTGCTTTGAGCCTTGTGTTAATTATGTATTCGTGCCAGCGATTTGATACAGTTTTACAGTATTATCAGATGAGTGAGGGTGATGATATTTGGTCAAATCAATCTTTTGTCTCACCCTTTTAAGGATGAAATCCCCCAAAAAATATTACAATTATGTAAAATAACAAATCAGGGGATCACCAAGAACATAAGGATTCATCCCTTGAGGACTATGGATGTCCATACAGCATGTCATTGGAGTTAAAAGGGTTAAAATTACCTTCAGACACATTTCTGCTCCAAACTCATGCAAACTAAACCAGAGTGTGATCAGATAAAGCAGAGTCAGAGCCTTGAAATCAGAAGTCTTACATCCACAGGCCAGTAAAAACTTCAATAAAGAGTGCACTAGTGCCCGAGTCCGTCAGTGTGAGAGCTGCCTCAGGCATCAAATAAAGATTTGGCTGAGCAGCCAGAAGGACGCTTAGTTATTACATTTGTGAAACACAAACACAGAGACAGAACAGAGAGCGGTTTGAGGAAAGCATCTCTGGGTTTAATCTTTTTGTTTAATCTATTTGTCAGGCTTGGGGGAAATTACCTCCATGGGGTGTTGGGAAACATCTCCATTGATGACAAACACTGGAGGCGATCAAAACTGTCAGTCACCAGTGAGACTTCAGGGCTAAAACATTATTAGTCATGCCCCCTGCTTCTTCTCACAGTGGAAGTACATCTTTCACTCTGTCGCTGCTTTCCATCACTTTAATCTAGGCCTAATTAGCACCTAATAGCTCCATTTGTCACTCTACAGGAGCATTACGACTTTTGATAGACTGTTGTTAATCGGTCCTTTGTGATCTAAATGTTTTCAGATTTGACGGATCATTCATGTGAATTCCAGCTAGCACACTTATTTAAGAAATGTCCCTATGTTGTGTTGCATTTCTGCCTTTTTTTTGGGTTAAGTGTGCTTTGTTTAGGAGAGTTACGGTACAGGGTGAGACATTTAAGGGCATTTCCAGCCTCTACTTTGCCTTTGATAACCCTGTTTCATTCCCTCTGGAGGACTGGAGAGCTGTGCAACACACTTGCCCTCCAAAGCACAAAGCTAGTGGAGGAAATGCCTGTGTGAGTTGAAGATGTAAAGTTGAAGGTTAAGTAACACAAGAGGAGGATCTTCCTGTTATGACTGAAGCCAGCAATCCTTCACAACGCCAGTGCCAGAGTGATAAAAATTGGAGAGGCACATTGATTGTCCATGAAAAAGGGACTTAGAAGTAGGCCGAATGGTTGGACGAATAAAATAGTTATAAAGCAGAATTCCTGATGGTGGATTTTAATGCTGCAGAGATTTCAAACAACTTTCAAGCAGCCAAAACATTTGGTTTGAGGGAGTGTAATGTTCCTTTTTAAGAAAAAAAAACTTCTGAAAGTATTTTTTCTAAAACTAATCTTGATATGAAGGGTTATTGGAAAATCAGGGTCAGCTACTGCACATGAAGTATTGTAGACTTAAGTGTCTAGGTAGGACAATGACACTTTGATTAATTAATGTTTTACTTTAATTTAGCTCCAGAAACATGCCGTCTTTCATTTTATTAGATGGATTTTCAAGAATTTGGTTTTAACCAAGGCCAGTGCAAAATTCAATCCTGTTTTTTCTCTCAAACTCACTGAAATGAGTCATCTTAATACTTCTGCTACATTTACAACTCAGCTTTTTTAAAAGTAAGTACCTGTATACTAGAGTAGTAATGATTCTAATAGATGAACCTCATACTTTTTTTACCGTTTCTCACACAGTTTCAGACATATTCTGATGGGCTCAGGATTTTTCCTCTGCCAACGATAGATGAGATTGAAGGTTTATACCTCACTCAAATATTAAAGGGGTCCCATAAATCTGTGTTTCATGGAGCTTTGAGCTTCTTTAAGTGCCACTGGTGAGACTGACAAAAGTATAGTGCTGCATGATAACACCTTTTGATTTAATTAAAGTAAGTAGTCAAAATTGGTGTCAAATAATAAGAAGAAAATGTTTAAGAAGCAAACAATAAATCATCTGAAGCCCCATAATTGACTCTGCAATTAAGGGACTCTCACTTTCACTTACTGTGATGAGAATGAATTAGGGAATTGCACTGGGCTGCAGAAGGCTCTCTTAAAGTCGACTATAAAGTTTGTGATTAAAAGCTGAGATTAGGAGTGCAGGATCTCAAGAGAAGCAACAGTTTAAATGACCAAGCCAGAGCTTAAGTGTTGAATTGAATCCTCAATGTACCGTTTATCTTCATCTAATTTATTAATATTCAGTTTAAAAGTATTTTTCAGATATATAAGAATATTCAGGTCATGATTAAACCTTTTAAATGCTTTCATCAGCTTTAAAAAGAGAGCGGGAAGGTTTGGTACTAAATACACAAGTCCTTTTTGTTTTTAAAAGTAATTACTGACAAGCGCATAGTCTTCTTTCCAGCCCACTGTCATTGCATTTGTTATTCCATAAACAAACCCAGTTCATACCCTTCAAAACTAATAAGCTTGTCTCTGATTTGCATAATTGGAACGTTTCCTTTGACTCCAACTCAGGGCTAAAAGTGCTGAAAAAACATTGTAAACAGACATGACACTGAACAAAGAGCGGTAACCTTGCCAGGTTAAGCAGCGATCAGCCGTGACTTTGGACAGCTCGTGCCAAATGACTGAAGAGATTTTGACTCGTCCCAGTTTTATTTATATATATTTTTTTGGCATGTGTGTGTGTGAGCATGTTTTCTGTTTGGTTTCTGCTGCTGAATCTGTGTTGTCAGCGACCTTTGTCAGACATCAAAATAACCCGTTTATGTGCCGCTCCTCCTTAATTAGAAACATTGTTCCACATTGATTTGATCACACAGAGGGATTTAAAAACAATTAAAGTAATATCTACACAACTGTTCCAGTAATGAGGAAATATGTTGGAGAAACAAGATCTTAAAACATTTAAAGGGTCATCCTGTGAATTTTCTTTGAATGCACACTTGAAGATCTTTAAGTAAAAATTTGGGAATGTAATCAAAATCATGTATTTATTCATAAAATCTAAAACTTTCTTAGCACTGTCCCAGTATTTAAAGCAGAATTTCCCCTCTTGTGTAAAAACAATGTATTCTTTACATGTGATTATCAAACTACATTAGTCACTAAGAGGGGAATACAGGGATTTGTCTGATGTGCTAAATCCAAGAAGGAAGCATGAAGTTTTAATGCAATAAATCAAACTTTGAAACATGCATTTGATGTAAATGTGAAATATCTAAAGGAAAAAGCTTTAGCGGTCAACAGAAATATGAGCACCCTGCCTCCTCTCTCTCCGAACCAGGCAAACAATTCACGGGCAGGCACAGGTGACATCCATTTGACAATCAGTCAGCCCCAGTGACACACCCACCCACACACAACTCTGCACCCACAAACACACACGCATTACCCCTAGTGACAAGCAAAAAGAAAAAAAAAAAAAACAAAACACATTGCTGCCTCTACATTCTTTTTTCCTTTACTGAAATGCACCTGCTTAAGGTTTGATGTGAGTCAGCTGATTTATTACCTCCGCCAAGGAGGTTATATTTTCAGTAGGGTTGGTTTGTTTGTTGGTTTGTTTGTTTGTTTGTTTGTCTGTGACCAACTTTACGGAGAAAGTTACAGACGGATTGACCTGAAATTTTCACCAGAGGTGCGTCTCAGCCCCAGGAGAATCCCATTACATTTTGGTGGTGATCCAGATCGTCTTCTGGATCCAGGAATTTTTTGAAGGATTCTTTATCATTGTGAGATAGGGCAAATTTTGGAATTTTTGCATTGAACTCTATAAAAATGTCCAGAGTCTTTAGTAAAAAATTACACAAAAGGATCTCAATGAGTTTTATGAGGTGTCAAAGGTTGATCCTGATCCAGACAAAATTCCGGATACTGTGATCCAGAACACACAAAAATAAGGGTGTTGTTGGAATTTTCAGTACTGAAAGATAACCAATGGGCGGCACAGTGGTGTAGATGGGTGGCACGGTGGTGTAGTGGTTAGTGCTGTCGCCTCACAGCCAGAAGGTCCTGGGTTTGAATCTGGGTCAGGGCATTTCTTGTTTTAGGAACATTATGAACAGTGAACATGCCAGTTTAAACACAAATAAACATTCATAAAAGACACGAAACACTAAAAGTTTTGGTGTGAATCACAATATAAGGGGGGACATGGGTTGCTTGGCGGAGGTCTGCACTCTCCGAGTGCTTTTCTAGTTATATTAATGATGGTTATCGTTGTTCATAATCTCTACTCAGTGTGATTGACTGGAGAGATGATCAGAGGAGCAGAGTTTTTATCACCATAGTTGTTGCAGGGATTAAAGTATGGGAAGAGTTTTTCTTTGAAGGAGCAGCCGGTGAAGGAGTAGATCAGACCTGCAGCATCAACGTCATAAAAGGAGACCAGACCCTCCTCATAGTCCACAAACACCCCCACCTTCTCAGGAACAGACTGCAGACAGAGACGGACTGAAGGGCCAGCACAAGCTTTGTACTCATTTTCATTTCTCAGTATAATCGTCCAGAAACCATTCTGAGGAGACAGACTGATTATTCCCTTCCTGTTGATGGACTCTCTAACTACTCCTAAATCCCACTCAGTCTTCCCTTTAACCTGAACCTCAAAGTAAAATCTGCCTGAAGACAAACTCTGCTTTGCTAAGACTATATTGTATTTACTGAATCTCTCTGGATTGTCAGGTAGATTCTTTCTCACATCACCATCATAAACTTGTTTTTCATCATCAGATAGGATGAGTTTAGGATGTGCTGTATCAGGATCGAGTGTCACATCCACCTCACACTGCTGGACTCTCTTCAGCTCAGCCTCAAACAGCTTCTTCATCAGTTCCCTGAGTGTGTCCTCTAGCTGGTTCACAGCTCTCACCACAGTCCCCTCATATGAAGGTGGATGGACTCGGACTTCAGTCCAGTTCTTGGTGAGTGGAGCAGCATTCAGGGTGGTGAAGTTTTGGAGCAGGTGGAGGTGGTCTTCAGAGCGTGAGAGGTGCTCCAGCTCAGAGCTCCTCTTCTTCAGCTCACAGATTTCCTGTTGCAGCTCTGTGATGAAGCCTTCAGCCTGTTCCTCCGTCTCTCTCTGCTTCTCTTTGATGGTGTGGATGAACTCGGCCTGGCTTCTCTCAACAGATTCTTTCAGAGCCGTGAAGGCCTCAACACCTTCAGCGATCTCTCTGTCTGCATTCTTATTACTGAGCTCCACTGATTCTTTGAGCTCTTCAATCTTCAGTCGTCTCTCCTGGATCATCTGCTGAATTTCAGCCTCTGTCTTCCCCAGCTCAGCCCTCTTTACTTCATATTCTTCTCTCAGAGGAACAACATCATGGGTCCTGTGGTCTGAGTAGGGGCAGAGCACGCAGACACACATCTGGTCGTTCTTACAGAACAGCTCCAGCAGTTTGTCGTGCTTCTCACACATCCTGACTGACACATGAACTGACTGTCTGAACTGAGCAGCTATCTCAGAGATGAAGGTGTTGATCTTCAGCTCTGGTCTTCTGAAGAAAACCTCTTTACAGTTTGGACACTGATATGGAACAATGACATCCCAGTTTTCAGAGATGCAGGATTTACAGAAGTTGTGTCCACATGGTATGGTGACAGGATCAGTGAAGACATCCAGACAGATGGAGCACAGGAGCTGATCTTCAGTCAGCAGACAGCTGGCAGCAGACATTTTTACAACCTGAGGATTATCAGTGGAAGATCAACACGTTAAAACACTAAACATATACTGTAGATCTATTTTATGAGTCCAAAGGCCCCTGACAACACAGATCCACTTTGTGGAGTTTAGACCAGCCTGAGTACGTCACTGTAGTTTGGTTTTTGAAGCTGTTTTGTGGTCAAGTTTAACAAAATGTTGACTGAAAAGTGTTTTTTGTCTTTGTTAGTCAGTGTACTCACCGTTTTTGAAGTCAATCCTTCTGGTGAATTTGTTTGAACAGAGATATAAAGAGACTTGTCTCGACTGCAGCTCTGCTGTGCTCAGATCACTTTTACTTTCAGTTCAGGAAACATCTAGTTGTTTACGTTCGTCCTTTTTCAGTGTTGCTCCTCCTCTCAGAGAAGCTCTAAGAGGAGGAGTTTCATACTTGGTTAAAGTTAAAGATCTGACAGCTGTGGAACAAGGAGACTTTACAGTTTATTCGATTTTACAGCGAAAGTAACACAACAGCAAAGGAGGAAAATTACGGGACAAGCAGTCATTGTAACCACAGAGCCGTGAGGCACACACTCACACAGACGCACGCACACAGTTTAAGTTATATTTCCTGCATCTTGAGTTTAGTTTCTTTTCTTTGGGATAAAAAAATCCAGTCTCCATGTTCACAAACACTCTGAGGATCCTCAGAGAGCTCCTACTTCAGCTTCAAACTTGTAGTAAGGAGTCCAAGTTTAGGAGAGATAGAGGAACAATCTCAGGGCAACTCTGAACAAAGAGGAGAGAAACTCTTGATCAGACGATTTCAGATCATGAGGGATTAAAATGTAACGATGATCTGCCAAAGCACAGAGACCATAGACCTGTCTGTAGTTGGAATTGTATCCCTAACGTGTGTCTAAATAAATTTCTTTCTCTTTCAAATCAAAATTTTAGAAGTTAAGAGAGCACATTTTAATTTACAAGTTGATAAAAGTAACTGCAGTAGCAGAAAAACTTGCTGAAAAAGGATAAAATACTGAATCCTCTTCCTCTGTTTTCTCTGTCCCTCCACTCTGCTGCATGTGTGTGTGTGTGTGTGTGTCTTCTCAGGCTCACTCATACACACGCACCTCCCCCTCAGTAAACATCCAATCACTGTTTATTATGCAAATGAGCCAGGAAGTGTCCAGACTTTGGTGTCAGGCAGGGGCGTCACTAGACCTAATAGTGTACTGGGGCACACGTGGGGCACAAAGAATTCATGAGAGCATGCAAAGTGCGGAGGAAAAAAAAACATATTCAGCACTTATTTATCATAAAAAGACATAAATAATTCTTCAAACTATTCAATCATATCAGACTATGTTGTTAAAAAAATCTAATTGAGGCAACAAAACCTTATATTTAGCCATGTTTCTAGTGACAAATACAGAAATTTTAATATTTTTTCTGGCAACAAAACCAGATGCTTTGGCTGTAGCCATTTTCTGGTGACAAAACAAGATTATCTTAGCCAAAGGCAAACCGATTAACAAGACAAGTCTGCTGTGCTATTTTTCTGTGAAATAAACTTGAATGGTTTAAAAATTTGGCTCACGACTTGATGATAGGGAAAAATGTGTTTCTTCCTGAAGATAGACTCTTTGGGAACCACTGCACCATCCATAGGCTATATCATTCAACTCACATAAGCTTACTCAAAATCATCATTGATACAGAGGTCTTGAGCAGAACCAGCAGACCATAACCAACATTATGTTTCATGCTAATGAAACTCACTGGAAACTCCCCCCACAGCTCATACAGCAAATCAATATGGTTGTCTTGATACAAGGAATAATGTTAGCTAACTTAGCCTTAACTTAATAATAATAATAATCTTTATTGTCCCCAAGGGGAAATTTGTTTTCACAGGTCTTATTCAACACAACCACGAGTACAGACAACACATATCATATGACACAAAACATATTACAAGGACAGGCCGTGAGAACCCCCCAGAATACCAAGAGACCATCCTAGAGGAGAGGCAGTTTGAGCTTGTTACTGAACTGGATCCTCTTCCACCTGGGCGATCTGTATCTGCGGCCTGATGGCATGAGGTCGAAGTGATGATGTAGAGGATGCTCATTGTCACTTATTATTGAGAGTGCCAAGCGGGTGATGGCCTTATTGTTCAGATCGGCAAGGGTGGGTGTGGGAAGTCCGATAACCTTGGAAGCAATACGGGTGATATTGTGCTGTTTGTTTCTATTTGGCATGGACAGTATGGTAAAGTAACATGGTGAGCAGTACAACAGAATGGGTTGGATAATGCTTTTGTATAGTAACAGCAAAAGATGAGGGGCAACAGACAGTGACCTTAGTCTACGGATGACATGAAGTCGTTGCTGGAAACGTTTATGGATGGAAGTGATGTGTTGATCAAACCTGAGTTTATTGTCCAAGATGAGTCCAAGATATGTGAAACTGTCAACCTGTTCAACTGTTTTGCCATGAATGAGGAGTGGGTTAAGCCTAGTACGAGTTGATGGAAAGACCAGTTCTTTTGTTTTGTCCACATTCAACTCCAGGAAGTTGTCCGTACACCACTGGGTGAAATGGGAGATGGTGTTCTGATAGTCCGTAATTGAGTCATTGTCATGTAGCAGTGCGAGGATGGCAGTGTCGTCTGAGTATTTGAAGTATGTGATGTTGTTAGGTGAGGGGCTGATGCAGTCATTTGTGTATAGTGTGTAGAGGAAGGGACTGAGAACACAGCCCTGGGGGGCCCCCGTGTTGGTGATGACTGTTGATGAGGAAGATGAGCCAACTTTGACTGATTGTGGTCTGTTGCTCAGGAAATTGTGGACCCAGTGGATGAGGAGTGTAGGAATGTTGAGGAGGTGCAGTTTTTTGATCATGTGATGGCGTTGTATGGTGTTAAAGGCGGAGCTGAAATCAACGAAGAGGATCGTGGAAAAATTGTCCGATGATAAGTCCAGGTGTTGGAGAAGGGAATGGAGGAGGCATGCCACAGCATCCTCTGTCCCCCTCTTGGCCCTATAGGCAAACTGATACGGGTCCAGCTGTGACCTGACAGCTGGCAGCATGATGTTCAGTATCAGTCTTTCTAGGAGCTTCATCATGATTGATGTTAATGCAACAGGTCTGTAGTGGTTAGGTTCCGAAGGGCGGGGTTTCTTGGGAACTGGTATGATGGTTGATGTTTTCCACAGTGTGGGTATGGATGCAGTTCTGTAGGATTCCCAGAAGATGGAATGCAGGATGGGGGAGAGCTCCATAGCACAGAGTTTGAGCACCTTTGCTGTGATGCCATCCGGGCCCGGCGCCTTGCCGGGTTTGCACCTGCTCAGCAGCTGTCGTACCTCTTCCGGCGTGAATGGGGGGTGCGAGGGCTCCTGGAAGGGGAGTGCTCCCAGCAGTTCCTCGCATTCTGCTGTATAATTATGGTTATCAAAACGTTTATAAAAAGTATTCAGGGTGTTTGCAAGTTTTAACGGATCAGGGGTGGTGCAGTTCCTTTGTTTTGTCTCGCCACCTGTGAGGATTCTTACTTTATTGAAGGCCTCTTTTGTGTTCATTATTCTAAATTCCTGTTCCATGGTGTTTTTGTATTTTAATTTGGCCTCAAGAATGTCCTTCTTAATTTGCCCATCAATTATTTTTAGGGCGGCCCAATCACGGCGTTGAAATGCCTTCTCTTTTTCCCTGAAGCTATGTCTGAGATGAGCAGTGATCCATGGTTTTGAGTTTGGATATTTTTTTATACTTAACTTAAGACATACTTATGTTGCCTAGCTAGCTAGGACTTCACTTACCTCTCTCATTCCTCGCTGCTTTATCTCTGCTGTGGGCGAATAACCTTCTGATATCCATCTAGGAGTTACAGTTCGAGTCAAATCAAAATCAAAATAATATATTTAACAAGTTGTTGTCAGCTAATGTTACCTACCTCACGCAGTGATTCTCTCTCTCTCTATCTATCTATCTATCTCTCTCTCTCTTTCTCTCTCGACTTAGAGTTGACATGTAAGTATACACGTGAATAAATTACCATATTAATTAGCCATGTGCGCATTGTTTATGTGGGGTGAATACAGTAGCGATGAATACTAAGTAGTAATACTAAGTAGTATGTGCACTGTAGTCTATGCTAGGTAGACTTCAAACTCTGAAGTGATTTTTTTTTTTTATTGGTGAAATTTTTACTGGGGCACTGCAGATCAATACTGGGGCATGAGCCCCAGTAAAATCTGTCTGGCGACGCGGCTGGTGTCAGGTTTCAGCAGGTAGGGTAAGATTTAAAAGAAGCAGCAGAGCTTTGACAAATTTGTTTGATTGACTCTGAGATAATTAATAATTAACAAAAGCAAGTAAACTTAAATGTAACAAAGGACTGGAGAGGAAAAGAGAGAGGAGTGAGAGAAAAGAGAGAGGAGATTTTTGAGCTGTTTAGTTGTGACCAAACAACAAAGGTACCAGGCAAAAAAGAGGAAAAGAAAACAAAATGCTCTATATCTGTTGTGTATTATAAATTAGTTTTAAGTTATTTTTATTATTATTCATAAGACTACCTTTCATTTTTGTAAATATTGACTTTTGTGTGTGAAGTCTTATTTTAGGTTCAGATTTATTTGAGAACCAGACCATCCAGTTAAAATATCGAAACTTGGAATCGAAATTTTAATATTTGAACGATTCCGGAAGAATCGAAATGTTAGTCCCGGTCCCCATCGATACTCGATTCTCGATACCCAACCCTAGTTGTATCTGAACAGGTTAGCTTACAAGCTAAAGTTACTTAGCAGTTAAAACAAAGACGTTTAGCAAACTGTTAAAGCACACAAACCATCTCCAAGTGATGCACCAGTCACATGATTAAGGCTGTTGTGGTGAAGTTACCCCTGCGTCAAGTCAGGGTGGCTTATGACTGTGATTTGGTCAATTTATCTGCAAAGTGAATTAGTGGCATTATTTTCTTAAATCAGTGAGTATCATGGCTATTAATCTGAAACTGATGATCACAC